ATGTATGTTTAAATTATACATACATATGCATGTATGTATGTATACATTTATACAAATATTTTTTATATATATATTTATCTATATACGAAATTTTATCTATATACTAACTTATATACGAAAAGATCGATTTTGCTGAAGTATCTAAAAATCTAATTAAATAAATATGTAAATCTAACTAGATATGTAAATGAAAATAATTGTGTTGAACTATCAAAATAATTATATAGGACGTTTAAGCATAATAGATAAAATTTTACATTCTGCACAAATTTTTACATTTTAACAACCAATCAACATTCTATATAATTATTTTGATAATCCATAACAAAATTATTTTTAGATTTGTATCTAATTAAAGGAGGATGTTAAGGGCCGTTTTTTGGCCAAAATGAAAAAGTTCTGAGATGTACAAATTATGTATTATATTAAAGGATTACTTAAGCAGAGTCAAGTGGCGTATATCGCTTATCTTGGGGAAATAAAAAAATTGCAGTTTAATAAAATATTAGATAAATAGCCCTTTAATGTGACATAATATTTATATATCTCGGAACTTTTTCATTTTCAGACCGAGAATCCTAACTCAACATCCTGATCCTTTTTTAGATATTTTAATAAAACTTTCTTTTTTTTGTACACTTATGTACCATATGTATGAATAATCACATAAATAAATTTTATCAAGCGCGACATTCTGTTTAATAATATAGGATTAACTAGTGTCACCAGCAGGCGTCAATTCCTCGCGTTCCAGCGGCAAGCCGTCGCAAAAAATTGACAAGTGCATCAAATGACTGTGTCGAGATCGTTATCGCCGTTTCCACCAGACACCGACTCTGCACGGATTTGTATCGCGTGTTTCCGCGGATCTCGTCATACGTTCCCGTTATGAACATCGTGCACGAGACAGAACACGGAATTGTCACCACAAATTACAGAATCCGGCGAGCAGACAGACGAATAAACGGTCTGTTCTCGAGTCGAGACTACGAGGAGAAGACAATAAAATCATACAACGGACATTACAGAATTCTTCGCAAATCGAAGCGAAAGAATTTCGTTATTAGGAACTATCAAAATTTGAAATCTTTTATTCCAACAATGAGATATAAAGTAATATATTTCCTGAATATATATATATATATTCAAAATATTTTTAAATCTTTGATTTTATGAGAAATGTAAAATGCCTATTACGGTCGAAGCTAGAGTAGTTTTAATTGCGTTTATAGTCCGGAAAAAACAATTCGGCGCGCAATTTGAAAAGACTACAATATGGTATATGTATGTATATGTAGTGTATATTAGTAATTCAAGATTGAATTATTTTAAGCAATGAATATCCAACTTCGACTATAATAGGCATTTTAAATTTCGTATTGGTTGTGTTTCTCACATATGCGATCAAAAATAAAGATTCTTAATCTTTGATTTTATTAATAATGATTTCTTAAATTTCTTTTGGTCGAAAATTATATACATCTATACATAGCTATATTTTGCTTATATTTAGACTCATACAAACATCTATATACATATATTTTTGTATAAATGTATATAATATAATATATATTTATTGTACACATAGCATATATATTATATATACATATATGAAACATTTATAATTAATATTGCATAAAACACATAAGCACTATATTCTATGTGCATTCGCACTTATGTGAATATTTAAGAAAATTTTATTATTTTATATAATAATTTTAGAACTTTTAAAAGCATTTTAAGTTATTATTTTGTTATCAATATTATACATATTGTTATTATATTTTTTTTTATAATTAATTTAAGTTAAATGTTAAAATACTTAGAAGACTTTGCGACAATATATTTACACTGCTTAATAAGCAATTATCTTAATTCTTGGTTTTTCACTTTATGTATTTATATGTTTAAATAGAATTGAATATATTATATATGAACCAAACGGACAATTGAGAACTATTACGCAGTTCTTAGTATTGTAAATTATTCAATAAATTATTTTTATGATTTTTACATAAAAAAACCAAACAAATATCGATGTTTCGGCTGTATTCTTTTTAACCTAAAAAAAAGACTCATTAATTTCAAGTTTTTAAAGATGAAGAATTTCGCAAGTGATGCAGTTGAGAATGCAATATAGAACAAAACTCTATAAATCTTTCTAAAAATTCACTAAAAAAGAGTACAATCTCATTCTAAAGAATTTAGAAAGAACATAAAACATCGTATAAATCGAAATTGCGTTTGAAATGTAAACCTTTTTAGAATGTAAAAATTGTATATTTTGCCTAAAATTGTATATTAAAATTTTATGCTTCCTTTTTTACTTTCCCTTTGTACGTTTTTATTTTATTGCTCAACTTTCACACCCATACAATTTTTTCCTCCTCTTTTGATCATTATTATCCTTTTTTATTTTTATCTCTGATTTTTTCGGCAGTGTCTCAAATATAATGACAGTTGTAACAAAAGAGATTACTACCCTACAAAGAATTAGTGATCTTCAATACCAGCCTTTTTTTAGAAGTATAGATTTTTAAATTAAAATGGGATGATTCATCAATTTAACTTTATCCGCAATAACACATTTTTTACAAAGAATTGGAAATAATTTTACCATCTCTCTCAATCTCATAAATATAATTCGTCTTAGCTCGCCATAGATACAAGTTATATGTATACCGACAATCAGATTTTAAATTCGATTCTTGCGATAAAATATAATCAGTATTCAGTTCTTTTGATCTAGGAAATTATAAAGAAATATAGTGAAAAAAGAAAGAGAAAGAGAAAAAGGCAAACTATTAACATTCGGAGAATTCTTCTGACTGGTCACTGGAAGTCTTTCTGGAATCTCTTATAATTAAATAAAAAAACCCTGATAAAAAAAAGTTAATAAAAACGATAGATAAAAAAAAATTAATAGAAACGACAGAACAAAAACCTTTCTTGATTAGATTCTAGTTCATGAATTTACTAATGAAATACACGATGGTGTAAACACGATAGAATATGTATACGACGTTGTAGGAATTTTTCGATAAAATCTTTTTCGTTTCTTATATACAGATTTCACATATACAATAAGGATCCAATAGAAACAGTAAGAAAACTATTTTATCTTTATCGTTTTAAATATTGATTTTGGTTTGTGATTTCACAAAATAATATTTTATATTGAAATGCTATCACTATCATATTATAATATTATCGTTTTTTATAGTTTTTTTTCGTAGAATCATGAGTATATAAGAATTTATCGAAAATTGGATTTCTATCGTTTTCTATCGTATTCTATTTATTACACGCAAATTTTTTTTTACTTAAATGTAAATATAAGAAATAAAAAGTAAAATATTTTTTATTCTCATATTTACATCATACATTCATCATTGAAATACGCTGTATATTTATACGGATATACTCGTACATATTTTTAAAAACGCATATGTAGTATCGACGGGATTCGAACCTAAGACCTATGGAGTAATAACTTAACACGTTAACTCTGAATTATAATCGCACGTATGTTTTGACAACTTGGAATTCGATAGTTATTCAATTCCCCATATAAATTTTTATTTACTATAGGCTCAACAGTGTTCAATGTGAAATTACATGCATCGAAAGGTCGTCTATCAATATTATAATAGGAAATTTTTCATCATAAAACATATAAGTTTTTATAGTGTATTGGCTTATAAATATCGATGATTTTCAAATTATAGAAATTAAAACCTTTTGTATGAGAAACAATTTACACCCCGCATCTTTCCCACATCTCTCCGCATCTTTTCTACACCACTTTCGCACCTCTCCTATACTTCTTGTACCATATCTCTTCCCCCCTTCCCCCCCCCCCTCTCTCTCTCTCTCTCTCTCTCTCCCTCCCTCGCAATATGGTGAGCATATCATTTTCATATGACAGGTAGACATTAAAAATAGATAATAGTGTTAACCTATACTAACGCATCCATCGGTGATT